CTCCGGTCTGAATGTCGCAGGCTAACTAAAATTCCCAATCTTCCGGCTACAGTACATATAACACCCTGCTAAGTTCCCTATTTTCTTACCTCTTTCCAAATTAACCGCGGGTCCTGTAGAGTGCCGTGTATTGTGTTGATGCAGCAAGCCTAACTGAGAGAAATCGTCCATAGCCCCTGAATAAGCTTCCCAATTGATCTGAGGAACTTTCAAAACATTCTGACGTGAAGGAATATCGAGTGGCTCCTACATGGTTCGAAGGAAAATTTTTGAGATTTGTTTCATGCAGAGGCACAGCCAGGATTTTTGGTCAGGGGGGCCCAGCAAAAAAAAACAGGGGGCCCCGGCAAAAACCCAGGTGGGGTCAAGGAAAAACCTTTTAAATCTCCCTGTCGACAACTTTTTTGGTAAAAATTCCAGACAATAACATTACAATTCCTTTTGTAGCACTTTTCCAGATTTCCAGATCACTTTTCCCCATGCTTCACCACAAAGATTCTGACAACATTGACAATTTTCCGACGCGTCTCAACAATTGGGGGGGAGGGGACATGACCCCCCGGCCACGGTGACACTGCACATGTGATTTTTCACCGAGCCGGCGTTAAAAATTCACTGGTAAAAACAAATTGGTTTAAAGTTCCTCTAACCCTCATTTAATACATATTGAAATCATTAGGGTTAGAAAAGGTATGTGTTTCAAGCTGTGTGCTGCAAATAAGTGAGCAAGATTTCAGGTTTCACACTGATACACAGCAAAGCATGTATTCTACAGAATTTTGCATTATTTACAGCATGAAGCTATATAATCAAGGATTCCCTTTTTTCTACAATACATTTTATCAGGGGGGGGGAGCAAAAATTTTGCCAGGAGGGGTCAGACCCCCTGGCCCCAGCCCTGGCTACGCCTCTGGTTTCATGCACAATTTTTTATTGTCAGACACTGACATGTTTACATACTGTTGATCAATCTCTGCCAGTGTAGGTAACTAGTGGCAATAATAAGAAAGTTTTGGATTGATAGGGATGCAACTACCTGAAATATACAAGGAGAACTTCGACGTTTTGTGCGAAGTGCCTTGTTTGGTTACTAACTTCCTGACGAAGGGCCTCCTGTTCGCTCGAAACGTCGAAGTTCTCCTTGTATTTTACATGTAGTTGCAATGCTTCGGATTGATAGGTTCCATAGGGATGCAACAGTTCCATAAATGAATGAGTCAGGTGGCGGCAACTGCAATATCACAAACACATACAAGCACAAATATATAATAAAGGCTTCATTTTTAATTAATAAAGAACATACATTGTTCTGCAGTTTTTCCACAAATTTCACAGGTTCAGCAAGGGCTTCTTTACGTAGTCTAATTAACTTTTCATAGTCCTACAAAGATTCAGTGACACTGTCAGTATTTTAAATTAATCAAAGGGTTCCGTCTGCTAACAATCTCAAATTTGACACCTTTCAGTCTGCAAACATGCCGCTAGTGTGCATGCAAATGCACTTGTATAAAATTATAAGACAATTGGATCTATAAATACTGTATGGATGGATGTTCATTAATAGTCCCAAATCTGCACATTTTGCACATCGTTTGGAAAGTGATATGCAATTTTCACTGTTTGGTCCAACTGTTAATTTGAACCCTGAACCTCTCAATTACTAGGTCTTAATTTTAAAGATCTGCCTGAGTAATCACAGAGCTTGTCACATACAGTACCTTGATAGCTTGTTTACGTTGGGCTTCAAGTGCTACCAAAGTCCGCAGGAGAAGTCTGTAACTAAAAAAATTTAGGAATCATTATTGGGAATTAATTATGACAAAATACAGTTAGTAATATTTGATGGATTAAGAGACCAGGCATTTTGTATCAAGCAATCAATGCAGATGCAGCATGGATTATAATGGTTGGCAATCAGCTATTTGCCGAACAAAACCAGCTTGCTTGCAGGCCTCGGAATAGGCAAAAATCAGGTCAGGCTCAATAAGGTGTATGTCAGTGTTATTTTAGTATAAAACACAAGCGCCAGTCACCACAGCCTGAAAAATTGCCATTTAAAATCTCGATTTTCTGAAATTTCAGAAAGCGGTATCAATTTCCACCCGATTAGCGCGTTTGACGCCGGCTGACAGCCGGAAATTTTGTCTCCGATTGCTCGGCTGCCAGCCGGGCTGTACTATAGTATACTATTCGTTCAAAAAATGCGCGCATTTCGGAGACTGGTTCTAGAATGTTTCATAAGCAGAAAACCACCAAAATTACATTAATTTTTCCTAAAATCATCGAAATGCATCCAAATTCATCTTCCCAATGCATATAGCTAGCTATGCGACAGGTAAATAAACGAGAAAAAAAAACAATTTCGGCAAAGAGCAAAATTCAAATTCGCTTGAGCACACTCCGGGATTGAACCCACGACCCTCAGCATACACGCTGAGTGTTATCCCCTTGCGCTACCACGTCTTACACGGAAAATATGTTAATTAATTGTATATATGCAAGTTATTCTTAGCCAGCAGGATTTATGATTGCGTAAGTATGTACACCATTGTACATGGCCAAGGGTACAGTAGCAGCCGAGCCGTATCTACTCGTTAATACAATACTTACAATACATCACGGCATAGATCACGGCTACCACCCGGGATTATTTAACTGTAATACAACACTACAATGCAATACGAGTGTCAGCCGAGCCTGTCGGTAGTATACTATAGTATACTACAATACATTACGGCTACCAGCCGGCAATACGGGTATAAGCCGGGCATGTCTGTAGCATACTATAGTATACTACAAAACATCACGGCTACCAGCCGGGGTTATTTAACTGTAATAAAATACTACAATGCAATACGAGTGTCAGCCGAGCCTGTCGGTAGTATACTATAGTATACTACAGACAGGCCCGGCTGTTAGCCGTATTGTCGGCTGGTAGCCGTGATGTATCGTAGTATACTACAGTATACTATACCGACAGGCTTGGCTGACAGTTGTATTGCATTGTAGTATTGTATTACAGTTAAATACCCCCGGTTGGTAGGCGTGATGTTTTGCAGTACACTATAGTATAGTATACTACAGACACGCCCGGCTGATAGCCGTATTGCCGGCTGGTAGCCGTGATGTATTGTAGTATACTATAGTATACTACCGGCAGGCTCGGCTGACACTCGTATTGCATTGTAGTATTGTATTACAGTTAAATAACCCCGGCTGGAAGCCGTGACCTATGGCGTAATGTATTGTAAGTATTGTATTAAAGTGTAGATACGGCTCGGCTGCTACTGTACCCTTGGCCGTGTACGATGGTGTACGTATTTACGCAATCTTTAATCGAGCTGGCTAAGAATAACCTGTATATATACAATAAATTAACATATTTTCCGTGTAAGACGTGGTGGCGCAGAGGGACAAGGCTCAGCGTGTGTGCTGAAGGTCGTGAGTTTGGTCCCGGAATGCGCGCAAACGAATTTGAATTTTTCTTTTTGCCGAAATTTTTTTTTTTTTCTCGTTTATTTACCTGTCGCATAGCTA